AAAAAAAAAAAGGGATTCTGGCTCTAATCTTCAGCTAGGATAAGTCCCTCTCTTTAGCTGAGAGCCAAGTGTAAGGAGGAGCCCCCAAGAAAGGCCAGTGCATTCAGGGAAGTTATGGTTTTTCTGAGCCCTGATAACCCATCTCCCTGAATTCTGACTAGGAGAAGCTGATTTGGATTTCTGAATATCACCAGGCTGCAGAACATCTAAATGTTCCAGCATTGAGTTCTCCCCTTGTGAGTAACCTCCTTGACTAATTTTTGTCTTGATAAAGAAACTGGCAAATTCTTTTATGAAATCTTTTTTAAAATTATGTTGCCTATTGTCATTACCAGTGTTGCAAAGCATATCAAATTAGTATGACTAGCTGCTGATTTTTTCAAGTAAATGACTAGGCTCTATACTCAAAACTAAACAAGTTTGTCTAAAATATTCTATTTTAATGTATAATGAACTATATGAAACTGGCAGGGGTTTCATAATTAAGGAAGTGATTTGGACATGAGTCAAGCTACCCCATCACACAATTTACATTTCCAAAGAATTATTATTGTCATGCCTTAAATGCCTATCTACTATGGTTTATAATTGCCAGAATAGGAAGCTTTCTGTATCAAAATATGACATTTCTGTACCAAATGGCTTGCTCATTTTCAAAGCCACTACAGTCCTGCATCCTGAGGTTGTCTCAAACACCATGCACACCTCTAGGAACAAGAAGAGAAGAGAAGTTTTTAAGCTCTATGACAAGTATAGTAATTTATATAATCCATCCCTTAAAAAAACCTCAAATTAAGAATGACACCCTGTCTCATTGCATTTAACAGCAATAGCACTGAATGGCAGCAATAGTTAGCAATGACTGGGACGTACAGAATGAAGTTTTCCAAACTGAGAAGAGGTTTGGCATAGTTTAAGACTCAATGCTCAACCTGAAACTCTTTAAGCAGAACCAATTTGTAGAATACACAGTCTCTCAGTCTTAATTTTGGGTGCCCCAAAATAGATAATTTGAAATTTTATATCTTCACATTCTTGTTTCATGAAATTTGTATATTATCAAAGACCAAGAAATTGTTCAAGGATCATGATAGGCACTTTATAAGGATCATAAATATCAGATTAAATATTTGATTTAAGCAGCTCAAGTTTTCAGGAGAATCTATGCAAAATGCATAGCGTGTGTAGCTTCTTTCTGTCCTTTGCCACACTGCTGACCATCTTGGACTTGCTCAGCACTAGATTGCAATTCCTGCAGCAAACTGTTGATCCAAGTAGAAGTCAACAGTGTGGATGAACAGTTACTTGTCACATTACAATGGGAAGCCCTGTCTTGGTTCACTGTTTTAAATTTTGAGGTTGCAAACTTCTTCAAGGATGAGTCATCCATCCATCCATCCATCCATTCTTTCTTTGAGAAAATATGAAAGAACTGATTCTTGTACGCCATTAATGAACCCTGTCAGTTAAACATTTACTACTACTTTTTGGCCAAGCTTTTTCAACTCAAACTGCTTAAAGAGCTCCTCTAGCCAAAAAACAATTTAATCTGAGTAGTGATTTCATTCTTTCCTCTCCCCCAGTTCCACCGCTTACACAAAGCATAAATAGGATAATGTTTTCTTGCCATGATATACCAGGAAATGATATTTCTGAGGAAGAGGCAGGACACAGCAATGGAATCATTAATCGTGTGCAGCAATTGTTCCATTCTTCCTTTGAGATGCCCAGGACAAGCAGAACAGTACTAGCTCCTTGAAGGCCAAGTTTTTAGTGGATTCCTCAGTCGAAGTGTTTGTGCCAAATCCTTGGTTCCAATGAGACTCATAAACTGAGCATACATTGTGTTAGCCATTCTGGGATTAATTGGCTCCTTTCAAAGGGAAGAGGTGGCGCTGCACACACCCCAAAGCTGAGAAGACTGAGTTTTTAATGCCAGCTCTATGGCTAATTTTCAAGCATAAATATACTGTGTCCAGTTGGGATTAAGGAGGGAAGATGATCCAGATTTAAGATGCATAATATATTGTGGGCCATAAGGAATTGAGTGGAAAATTTGTTAAATACAGAAGAGGAGATACATATGGATGGAGAACGAAGAGAGCAAATGTCTGGAAGAGCAAAGGTGTCCATATCTTTTCAGGAAACAGTGTCCTGTTTCCAAATACAAAGACAATTCACTGTCTACCTGAAACTTTCCTTAGGAATTTGATCATGTATATGGTCCAATACACATACTAGTTGAGAGAGAGCATGTGTAAGATGACAGGAGAAGGACATGACAACTATTCAGGAGTTTTGTAGATGTTTCAGTTTTAATAACTCAGACTTTTGTCAGTGTTTGTAGCTGTTTATTTGACATGAATCAGGCATTTTTATAAACTCCTGACAGAATTTACCAGGCCTACCATGTAAGTCCAGCACATCAGGATGAAAGAACATACAGGTCAGATGTCAGGATATTTCAAAAGGAGAGGCATGGTTTTCCCTGAATATGGTAATGCCACTGACCTGCAGTTGTATTCTAAAAACAATCAGCTTCTGTCATATCAACAGGAATCTTGAGAGCTATCCCACTGATAAAGGACACAATTCCATTGTACTACAATAGTATAGATGATGCCTGGACTGCCAATGACAATGTGAATTATACACAGTTTAGGTTAATTAATTACTTGAGTTTAATATTGTTAGGTTTTGAACAACAGTGTCCTATACTGTTGGAGATGAGTGCTACATCTGATGTGGCACCAAAACTGTGATAAAATCATCCTCAGGGACTTCATCTGACATGCAGGGTTCCCAATGGACAATTCCAACAATCTCCCATTGTATTTTTCTGGTGAATTATGTGAAACATATTTGCTGGAGCTTTAAGTAAGCCCAACTCCCTACTACTAAATTTTGACACTGCTAGTTGATTCTGGCATATGTATTGTGCAAGAAGATTTCTGTTCTTCAGAAAGAACTATTTTAGGCTTTCTTGGCCCTTTTAGGCTAGGCTTTTTGGGGCTTCTCTCTCCAAGCTGTTTTGGTAAAAATAACATTTTAATTTCATAGTCCTTTTTCTAAAAAAAGTTTGTTTCAACTTTAAAAAAATCTAAAGCTTTTGTTCTTAGTTGAGGCAAAGGGGAAAGAGGAAGGGGCCCCAAAAGCAGCCAAAAAGGACACTGTTACATTTTTGCTACATTTTTTTCACAATAACTTTTCAATTTATCCTTTATTTCAGTTTATCCTTATGAAATCTTACAAATTCTTCAACTCTGTTTTTTATTATAAACTATTTTCCAAGACACTTTTGGGCAAATATTATATTGGTGTGTTTGACAGATATCCAATGCCAGAAAGAGAATATTTTAAGTACAGTAACTTTTGCAATTGCAATCCATAACTGATATCAAATAGTTTTAAAGTAACTCATCAGATAGCTTTAAAGTAACTCATTTGCAAATGCTAGCAATAGAACCAGGGTGGAAGACATCTCTGTGCTGCCTAGGCACCAAGTGCTCATCTTCTTGGGCAGATTTTATAGTACTCACTGTATAGAATTTTGGTTTAATCGAATCTTAAGGTCACTCAGCAGGGCCACAGTTACAGCTCTGCTATGGCTGCATTAAACGTTTTCTTTCTCTTTGGAGAAAATACCCTTCTGGTGAAATCCTACCACCATGGTAGATCTCATTTCCTGTGCTAAATAATGCTACTCATAGTCAGAGATTAAACTCACCACATGGACTGAACAAAAAACCCCCAACATTTGGGCAGGGTCTGATCTCCTTAAAAGACAAAACTGCAGTGTACAAAAGCTGTAGGGGATACTAGATGGCCTTGTGATCAGAAAGTGTGATCAACAATGACATACAGCTATAAGTCTTTTTCAGTTTGCACAGTATAAGTTGTGCAAATCATACAGGGATACTGCAGGTGAAAATTGTTGCCTTAAGCAAGAAGTTAAGAGGCATATCCAGGCTCACCGTCTGCACTTTCTTTTTTTCCCTCATCTCCCCTCCCCTCCCTTTGAGAGCGCAGGAGGCACCACATCATTTCCTCCTGCCCTTGCAAGCGAGCTGGGATCTCCCACGCCATTACCTCATCCTGAACTGATCCCCCTTTAACAAATGCCTGGCTCTGTGCCTGCTGTCACCCTTCAAAGGTCTGAGCCAAAACGCATTCATTGCACCAGCAATCTTTTGCCTGACTGCAGGGACCTTAAAGAGCTCTGAGTCAGTTTTGTTCAATCCAGTGACTATATAGTTTTTTATAAATTTATTTTTGGCAAGCATGGAATGTGTAAGTTCAAGAAAGCCAATAACATAATGTTAACATATGCCTCTCATCCAGCCCGGTTAACCACTGCAGGCCAAATGTAACACACAAGCCAGATTTATTTAGATTTAAATGTATTTAAGCCAGAAAAGTAAAGATTTCATTAGAAAAGCAATGTCTTTTTATTCCTTATTGCTTACAGAGTATATACCTAGCCCCTAAACCTGAAAATAAAATCCTAAAATGGAGCTATTAATATATTTGAAAAGCAAAAGGTTAAAAATATTTGTGTCTTATCACTCTTCCAAATAATTTCAGCTACATAAATTTCCCTGGTATAGAGTTCTTAGAAAATGCGTTGAGAGAGGCTGACAAACCTAGTTTGATGTGGCTTTCATTTCTAGTCTTGCAGATGCATGGCATTATAAATGAAAATCATAGACTTCCTCAGCCATACAGGCACAGCCCAGCTGGCTTCCTGGAAGCACCGCCTCTGTGGTCGACAGCTACTTTTATTGAGCAGCACTTCAGCAGAAATCAACTCTGATAAATACCCTTCTGAAACATAACATCCGATAAAGATAGACTTTGATAAACAGCAAAAGGTCTTCAGTTTTATTAGTAACCTACTGGGCCAATGGTTATGGAAACAATAATTGATGCCATATGCTCTCAGTGATTTTTTTTTCAATTCACTGATTGCATTGCAAGGGTATGAAATGCCTCACATTCTTTCCTGGCCACAGTGATTTCTGCCCCAGAATATGAGCTTCCCTTCCAGACAGCAGAGATGTTTGTATACTCTTCCTGATCCTCACTTGGGCATTTAGTAGGTTATATCAGACCTTTGGAGAGAAGAAGCATTTTTTGTTGTTCAGCCATCAACATTGATATTTGCTTTTACAAAATTTTGGCTGACCACCATGAAGGCATTTTTAAACATCGGGTGTACAAGCAGAGGGAGGTTTTCTCTGTTCTCTCAAATTTTTGAATGTAGAGGAAATGGTCACAAACAATTCCCAGCTTCAAGTCCACTACCTTTCATCACTCAGCCTTATGCTGAGGGGTTACATTCATGGCCTCCACAAAACCCAGTGGCAGGCACTGCAGACTGGGGGTGAGCCCTGCTGGCTCTGCTCTGCTGCAAAGGGGAGGCCAGGGAGGAGCCTTACATGTAACTGCTTATGGAGTTTTGTGTGCCTTTTTTGAATTATAGAAACAGAGCAGTGAAAATCTTTGCTTCTCACTTTGAAGACAAGATTACGTGGTCCATTCATATTTTGTAATTTTGTTTTTCAGTTGCCAAGTACAATGCAGAATCTTAAGGAAGGGGGCATGTTTCTGTGATGTTCTTGTGCAGCATTGCTAATTGTAATGTTTTTAATAATTCTGAAGCATTTTGAGAAGCGAAAATATTGCAGTGGTTTCGTGTTCCTCTAACCACATGTAGCTGTTTCACTGGATGTTTGTTGGTTACCAAGGCAACAATTTCAGACCTAGCATGATTATCTGTATCATACCACTCATCAGAGATGTGGGCAAACTCCAGAAACTTCTGCATTGAGGAAACGATGCTAGTTGGTAGGAGGCAGGAGTTTTCAAAGCTGTCTCAGTGAAAATGCTGGTATCACATGCTTATGTCAATAACTTTAAAAATATCATTAAAAGATCAGTTTGCTTAAAATAGATTTTACTATAAATATATTGAGTCAAGCAAATAGCTGTTTCATCAATGCATTATCATAGTTCTGTAGATGTGCCCATTTAGAATAAATTAACATCATTTTAGAAAAGCCTTTAATTTGTTATTTAAAGCAAACAACATTGTGGAGCCATAACTGATACATGAATCAGCCCATACTTGTGTCCTAAAAAGTGCAGAGTCCAAAGCTGGACTTTGGACTTCAACTCTGCTATTAACCTCATCTTTTAATAAAATTTAATGTTCATGGAGTTTTATAGGAATCCTATCCATCCTATATGCATGAAGAAGAGTAAAAAGGAGCTGTCACAATACCCGAATTTCAGTAAGTCAGAGAAATCCAATTGGGAAATTTTGCAGACGTGGCTGCTTTGGGGTCACAAGACAAAGTGTGAGCAACATTTAGCTTGCCCCATGACAATGGCAGCACATGTTAGCAAGATTTTCTGAGTGAAGGATGAACAATTGCTTTCACAGGGCTCACCCTCTCTCTGCCATCATTCCAGGTTTTCCTGTGAGAAGCAAGATATGAGTGGCCATGGACCTCAGCACTTCTGAGCCATTGCTCCTGTTTGAAATAAGCAGCATGCCTTAAATACTATTATCTAAATTTGGATGAAGAAAGTATGGTTATTATTATGTTGACTTTACATTTTTAAAGTGAAGAACACTACAAGTAACTGCTTCCAGATTCCCTGTTTTCATTTTGGTTCTTTTTGCAGCTATCAATTAATAATGACAACCAGGTTAGGGCAGCCACAGTCATACAGAATTATAAAAGTGACTGCTGCCAGTTGTTTAAAAATGAGTACTATGGAAGTTTTGGTGCTTCCCATTCTTTACAAGAGGAAGCCAATAAAATCCCAATCTAGCTTATTAATTTTTTTTGTCGCCAGAGTGGAGGCATGTTGATCATATTCTCCAGTTTACTACACTGGAAGAGGAAGTAGGTGGAGGATTTCCCCTGAGCTGGGAATCTAATGCCACCAACCAGCACAGCAGACACATCTCTGCTGCTTTTTCCATATGACTCCAATTTTCCTGTGTATGAATGGCAAAAATACCTTAGAGGCAGAGAAAGAAGAAGAAAAAACAGATCTCAGCCCTGTCTTCCCGTCTATTATTAATTGCTCCAGGTACTGGGTAGCTCCAAATAAATGAACTGTTTCTGGCTGACTACAGCTCCCACTCATCACAGTATCTGGCATTGCTGTGGTCTGTAGACAAGAAACTCAAACTCATTCATCGGCTTTACTGATTTCAATAGTCTAAAAGTCACTTTTTTCTTTATTTTCACCTTGCATCTATAACTTGAATGGGTTCTATTAAAGTGTATCTTCTTAGCTGATAACAACTTTGCTCTTTGCAACCCATCTTCCTCATCTTGACCAATTTTCTTCAGAGCCTTCAGCATCTTTGTCCCATGACTCTTTTCACCACCAAGCACATTTTTAGTTTTGTTGCACCATGTAATTCCACTTTCTCAGTTCTCCATCAACCACCAATGCAGGAAACCTGCATGCAGCTGGTTGCAAAGCCTGCTGCTCTCCTCTGGTGTCTCAGCTGCCGCACTTCCTTTCAAGTGATGTAGACTAGATATAGACTTGAATTTCTTGTTTTAGTCACCTTCTATGGCTGACAAATAAAGCAGCAGCCCTAGCACTTATAATGAAGATCCAGGTGAATGACGGCACTGTTTTGAAAAAAAAAAAAAAAAAAAAAACAACTGGCAAGGACTGATATTTTTACTTTGAAATTTTGTTTCTAATTTCACTGTTTTCCACAGGTCATGCATCCTGTGTTTTGGAGGAGTGCATTGAAAAGCAGCAGATTTACCTCCTTTTTTGCCCTCCAGTTTCAGCTAAAAATTCTTCCCCCACTCTAAGTCAAGTGGTAGGAGCTACTATGACATGCTGTGTATGAAGCAGCTGCTAAAGAAAAATAACTATTCCTTAAACCTTGTTTTTGACAGGTTTCCAAAAGGCTCCACAACAATATAATCAAATCAAGAAACTAGTGGAGAAACATGTTCAGGTTTGGTTTGTTTTTTTTTTTTTAATTTTTAATCTTCACTTTACAATCTGAATCTGCAAACTGAGGCGTAGGTGAGTGTCTGCTTGACTGCGGTGGGTAACCCATGCAACAGTCTGTGACGCATTTACTCTGGTTGATACATATAAATGTACATACATACACAGACGCACATATATATATGTATTTGTTTAAAAGACCGGATATATGAACATACACACACAGATATATATATATATATTTGTTTAAGAGACTGGACACTTTTCAGGGGCAACAGAGTCGTTGAGCAGCGTCTTCCTTCTCAATTTAGCAAGAAGCGTTGGTGCAAATGAGCGCAGTTTCATCAGTAATTTCCTTCTTTCCTGTGCGGGCTGCGAAAGGACTTTCCGAAAACATCACCGTCCGCCTAACTGCGGCCCGCCGGGCCCGCGGCAGCGCCAGCCCCCGGCAGCAGCCGCACCGCCTCCCCTCATGAGGACGGGCCCCGGCGGCACTCGGGCACCCGCCCAGCCACCGCTCCCTGCGCCGGCCGCCCCGGCTCGGCCTGACCCCCACGGGCACCCCGGGGGCAGCAGGGCCGGCGGTGGCCTCGGCCCGCGGCTCCCCGGGGCGGGCGGGGACGGAAGCGGCGGAACGGGCGGGCGGTGCGCGGGAGGGGCGGGCCGAGCATGGCGGCGCTGCGGGTGCTGGAGCTGTACAGCGGCATCGGCGGGATGCACCAGGCCCTCAGAGGTACCGGCCCGCGGGGCTCCGTGCTGCCCGCCCCGCCCTCGGGGGCTCCATCCTCCTTCCCGAGAGGGCCCCGCCTCGAGGAAGGGGGGCAGTGCAGGGTGCCTCCCTTGCCGATGGGCGGGCACAGGTGGCCCCTCTTCTCCCATAGCCCCTGGCCCAGTCCGGCGTGTGGCACCAGGTACCCAGGAGCACGTTGGGACTGGAATTAGGGATCCCTGCTCCTTGTTTGGCCCAGGCAGCTGCTTCTGCAGAGGCCGTGATTTTGTGCTTGTTATTATGTGCTCTGTGTAATACAGAGGCACCCCTGCTGCAGATGGGATGGGGATCACTGGGATGCCCAGGATGATAACCACAGGAGCCAGGGTTTCCCACACGTGGACTTGGTTTTCATAGGCCATAGTTAGGTGAACAGCTGAGCCGTGTTGAGTATGAGCAAGCCTGACCATCTGAGGCTGGTGTAATATTTTATAAACATGAAAATCAAATATGGAATTTCAGCTGGTATAGGGAGTTCACACCACATTCCCAGGTGAGTTTTTGATCTGGCAGAAGGAACCCTGGAGCTCAATTTGCTGAATTGTTAAAGCATGGCCCGGGTGACCTTCAGCAGATCTTGTAGACTCTCTGTGAATTGGCTTCCTCAAATTAAAAATTGAGTTAGGGTTATTGATTTCTGTTGTAAAGTACCCTGGACCTTATTACTTTGAAGGCCATGTCTCAACACACATTAGTATAACTTACGATAATCACTTATGATAAGTATAGCTTACGATAACAATTTTAACTGTAACTACAATCCTTCAAATCTTTCAGCCTTCAGGAGCATTAGCAGAGAGCATTGTCATAAAAACATCCAGTTGAAACTTGCCTTGTCTTGCTATTTTTCCAGGGAGCTATGGAATATTAAGGCTATGCTTATGGACTGAAATCCATTTAGCATAATTTATTTACTTAAAACACACGGTTGTCAGAGTAGCATTTTTCCTACTATTCTATTTTTGCTTGAATGCGTCTAAGTGCTGTATTTATGAACATAAATATATAAAATATATTTTAATGTATTTATTATATGTATATAAATACACAACAAAATAGTTTCCTACATTATTCCTAGCCACCTGTTTTTGAGGATGTATTTTCCTTATTTCCAGAGACATTCTTTATTAAGAGGCAAGTATAGCTTTGCCTGGAACTGCACATTTTGGAGGTTTTGTAGAATTAAAACAGTGTGTTATGTCTTCTATATGGTGTACACACTAATGGTAACATGCTGCTTTTCTGGTAACCAGGTTCCTGAAGTGATGGCAAGCTATCCATGTTTGTTGTATTATAAAATAATTCCATATTTCCGCAGAAAGTGGACTGGTTCCTGAAAGTTAGTCTACACCATGGTTTCTTCACTCTTTATTGAATTATCTAGCTGTGTTCTTGCCATAATAATGGATGTCTTGGGGCAGCTTAGTAGTGTGCTGCAATGTTTAATAAATTATAATGCTAGATGTGATGTCCTATGAATTTCCACCTGGGAAAACATCATTTATAACTCAGTAAATACTTAAAAGTGTGGGAATGTTGGGAATGCCTCATTAGATTATCTGAAGACTGTAAAGTTTTGTCCAAGATACACAGAATTAGGGATGCTCCAGCAAATAGTTACTGCAAATAGGAGGTCTTGAAATCATGTCACCTAATGGTGTAGTTTGGAGACTGAAGGACTTAACTAAACCCCCTTTATAATTTCCTGAAAAGGTGCATTTGCTTCCACATTACTGTTTCTGAACTTGCTGACAAAGCTGATTCAGTGTCAGTCTTTGGTGTAATTTCTGTTCTTATGGATTTGCATTTGACTGAAGAAATGGCAATAGGTATGAACAGTAAAACTGAGCTTTTTCTGTAGTGGTGCCAGCCAAAGCAATTAAAGAGACTGTAAGTAAGGACATTTAATTTATTATTTGTGTAAATGACCCTAACTAGTTCAAAATGGTCGGGTACCAATTGAAATTTGCAAAGTGACTAGACACAAAGCTATTTGCATTACAGTTGGTATAATATTTTTCAATCTGGATGCTTGTTTGTCTGGGAAGCCTATGAGAGTCTAGCCCATAAGCATTGGGAAATGCTTATGTCTCAGGAAACGTCTAAACCATACACTTCTAGATGAAAATATTGTTTAGAATCTTATTAAAAGTAATAGGCAAATTGATTAAAAGGTGTCCTACAAAATTTGCACAAAGTATTTAAGAACAGGTTATTATATAAAACTATTTTTGATGAATTGGATTTCATTTAGGAGCAGAAATGTACTTGGGCATTTGATAATTTCTCCTGGTTTTTAAAGTCCTTTAGACATCTGGATTCAGTTTTCTTACACAATTTATGAATGAACAAAGTAAAGTCAAGGGGCATTAAAGTGTTTGCTTTTACGTGCAAATAAAACAGAGAAGAAGTGAATGTTCTGCTGTAAGTACTTTAATAATGTGTTTCTTACATGTTTTTGGCCTGTATCTGTACATGAAACCATGCTGTTTGAAAAGGTCTCTCATCCTATCCTTCATTTAGCAAGTGGCAGATTGTTCAGCATCTTCTTTTAAATCATGTATAGAAATATTAGAAGGATTGTAGGATTTTTTTTCCATATAAATATGAAGTTTGAAAGAAAGGCCTCCATTGTGCCAGTGCTTCCATAAGCCAGATGCACAACAGATGATGATTATGTATAATAATATATTATCTTAGTATGGTTTCTAGTGAATCTATAAGCCAAGAAAAATAATAGGAATATGTAGACAACTAAGGGAGCATGTAATATTTCAGTGGCAGCATCCCAGAAAAGCCTTGCTCAACAAAAGGGATTCTGCAGTTCTTGTAACCTACTTCCTGCCATGTAATGGAGTTAGTTATGGTTAATTCAGCTGGTCCCACTTTCTACTTTTCTGTGAAATTGCCAGTGTTTCAGTTGTCAAATAGGTATTTCTCAGGAAATCTGACACTGACTTTTCTACCTCGATGCCCTTCTTGGCTGTGATCTTTCAAAAACTTAGTTGTAGGATAGCTTGCAGGATGAAGATGATTGTTGTTTTGGCAGCTATCATTAACATAGAATGCATTTGGCACCAAATATTATGCAATTGGTTTTGAGATTGTCCTTGCCTACCGTAAAAAATAATTACATTTTCACATATTGATGGAAGTTTATAGTCTCTTGTAAGTATTTCCCGGTAATGAGTACATAGAAGTTGTGAGTACATAGTTTCATAGTTTAATCACATTCTTTTTGTCAGTGAAGAGAAAGTTGAGAAAGTTGTTTCTGGATGTAGGTTTCAGTCTGAAGCTGAAAAAGAAAAATCTTGGGGATTGTCTAGCTCTGTGTTGGTACTTTAGCTATAGATAATTCAGCACATGTAGAATTTCTGGTTTTAGATTTTGAATGCTTTATAATAATATTTTAACACCAAAGACCTGCAAAAATATACCATCTTTTGCTGGTATCTTTTCATAAAGATGCCATCAAAAGATGGTAAAGTTGAACTTAGTTAAAGTCAGAAATCAGTGGGTCTGTTCATATTCATACTCTTGAAAGACTGAGGCAGCTAAGGGATGAAAGTGCATTTCTTTCTTCTTCCCATGCTGTACCCCAAGCCTTTTAGTATTTATAAAGATTAATGTTTAAGTCAAATATGTCTAAATCTATGATAATTTTTTTTATGTGTGTGTGAATTAATTTGTTCTTTATAAAGTGCAGAGTTTCTGCAGTGAAAAATAGTGGTTTATTTTTAGAAAATCTATGGCTACATATTCATTTCCTTAGTAACTTTCCATGAAACAAACAGCCCGCTATTCCTCCTTCCCAACCAAAAAAAACCTAAACTGGTTTATTAATTTAGGCAGTTTTCCCGTGAAAAATGGGTTCCATGTCTCTGCCACAAGCATTTGTAATCTGCCAGGTCCCTGAAAAAAGTCTTCTTGCATGAAACACTAAAGGACATATTCTAAAAAAATACCATAAATTTGCAGTGATGAAGTTGGTGATATTTTTCCTCTGCAATTGTTATATTTCAGTTTTACAGAGTAACAGCTATTGTCTCTTGTGCTCTGTCAGCTGTGTTTGTTCATTTTAGTTGATTGACTCTGTGAATTGCACAGCACAGTAAACTGGTGTGTGTATTTACACTGGGCAAAGCTATCCCACCAGGAGAGGCAAAGGAGACAAAACTGGCTCTGGCATTCAGCACAATGCAAAACAACAGATTGCTGGTTTGAGCAAGTTTTTACGCCTAAACTCAATTTAATGCTTCTCCAAAATACAGCTCTTTGTAGCACAGGATGGTACCAGTTGTGCTATAATGTAAGTTTATAAGGTTTATATGGCTTAACATGATAGAATCCTTTACAAATAGAGCAGTGAAGGGAGTTGCTAAATATTCTGCAGGAACCAAGTATTGAGTTTACTGATAGTCATGTTGACTGTAGCCATGGACAGTTCAGCCTAATCATTTCAGCCAAGAACTGACAACTCAGAAATTAAATCTTTGCTCTCTGTTTTAAAAGGAAACAGGACTGACAAAACTTGTGACTAATCTTCCCTTTTCCATCTGTTTCCATATACCTGTCAGAACAGATAATTGTTCTGGATCCTATTTTCCAATATACTACAATCTACCACTACCCTTGCTATAACACAGTGTATTTCATGTATTTTGTTGACATTGATGACTCTATTGCAAAAGTACAGTAGTGAATATAAACAGATCTATATTAATTTCAAAGTCTGCAGAAACACATGACAAAGGAATCAATTCTAAAGAGGAAAAAGACAGATATTGTAATGTCAGAAATGTTATTTCTGGCATTTGAAGGTGACACTCTTTGGGTTTACTTTTTCAAATCAGAAGCTAATGCACACATCCTGTCTTTGTTTCAGATGCATCACCTTCCAGTCCTTACAGCAGTGTCCCTTCCCCTCAAGAATGACAACTCCATAGCTGAAAGGGCTTTGTAAGCATTGTGTATTCAGTAGAGAACTGGGACCCAAAGTGTGATTGCTGCCTCTTTAGACAGTTTAAGTAACAGTCAAAGAGTTTTCTGTTGTCTGTGTCCCAATAGGTCTTAAGCTTTTAGTACATTACTAATAGGATGATACAAATTTGATTTCACCTGCTTTCAGCCAAGAGAAAATACTACAATCTAGTCTGCATAAAAATAAGTTGTAACACCTCCCTCAATAACTTCCCCATCATGTCTGTGGCTTCCATTTGAGCTATTTGAACTCATCTTGCTCAGAAATGAAAAGTCTCAGTTCAAAGACTGGTGTTGAGGAATCCTGCAAATCATGTATTCCAGCAGCCTCTTATTTTCACTTAGGATATGTGTATTATTTTTTCTTTAGTCTGAATAAAATTATACTATTTTCTGCATTTTGTAATTATCTTAAATATCTTTGTTTTGAAAATTTGATGTACTTTATTGAGGGAGATAAAAAAATCCCCAGAGCTGTGTATGTGTATATATTGAAGTTCTTCTATGTATTTTGGGGAGTTGATTTAACATCCCACCAAGTCAGCGATTCCTGAGTTGGTTTTGTGCCTTTTGTCAGTGGGGATAGTTAAACACAGTATTGATTCTGTTTTTCTTAGATTCTGCTTTCAGGCTTTTTTTATGGTGCATTCCTTATAGTAATTTTCAAGTAGTAAATGTAATTGCTATAGAAAAACAGAATATCACAGCTTGACATAATGTTATTTAACTTTCAGGAGAAGTTCTTTAAAAATGTTGCATTTTCGCATTGTTTGAAATTTACACAAGCTTTTCTTTGTTAGGTTGGATGTGTGAGAGCTGCTTGTCTGCTTGAGCTGGTTCATGTGTTTCCAGGGCATTTCCACACAAATACGCTTAATCAGCTTTTAGAGGGAGTGTGTTCTGTAACAGGAATTCTCAAGTGAGCTGCAAATTTGAAATGGAGGAGAAGCTTTGAAAAAATTATCAGGTCTTTGAATTAGGAAGAGAGGATCTCAGATGGAATACTTCAAGAAAAGTTCCTGTCCATTTTCCATGCTGGTTTACATCTCTGGTTTAGACTGAACATTGTATTGCAAGGAGATCCAATAGGTTACTATTAGCTGTGTGCTCTCTTCCAGTATCCCCAGACTTTTGGGCCTGTGAAGTCCTCAGTAACTATTTTTGCTTGTATGTATGCAGGGAGATATTGAATGGATGGCAGTAAAAAAAAGAATGTCTGAATCATGAGTTGTGAGAGAAAGCACACAGCTTGCCTTCCCAATTGCCCTTTTTAAACTATGTGTTAATTTAGATAATAATTTGAGGGTCTTGATTTTTTAAATTTTATTTTTCTTCTGGATTACTTGGAAAACACAGTAAGAGTTAGCTTGTTAGGACAATATGTTTTAAGAACTGAAGGAGTGAGTGAGAAAAGCAGTCTCTTAACAGTCTTGGAAGTTTGTTCCTGTTACTTAGATGCTGCAGCTTTGTTTTAGGAAGATGAGAGTATTGGTTCTTGCATATGTTTGTAAATTGAGGCATTCATCCAGCTTTCTTTTCACGCTAGGTGTCAGTGTTAACTTACCTGTTCTGTAATCTCAGGTGTAGTCATGCTATTGTCCTTGTGGATACACCTGTATTTAGTTCTCAGTTACAACTTCTGGTCAAAAGGTCAAGACAGTAATGGCAAATAATGATTTGTATGTTGACCCCTAATGGTCTGTAAGTATTTATCTTGTGAAAAACCTTATCTTTTTGCCCTCGATTGCATCAAATAAACCTGGAAGAACCAGCTTGGTCCTTGCTAAAATGTCTGCTACATTTTTTTCAATACCCAGATTTCTCTTTCATCTTAGTTTTGACTAAGACAGCCTTGAAAACCTGAAAGATAGTGGATGGATGGTAACTTCATTATTCAAAATTAAATGTGCTGGGATCATTCCAGTTGGGCTTTTATCTTCTCAAACTGTAAATAATTAGCTGACTAGCAGTAATTCATACGGTGTCTTGTAAGTTCATTTGTTAATGTGTTACTTGAGCATATTTATAGATTATTCGAAGGCATGTGGCTATTTGCCTTGTTTCTTTTGGTTTACAAAAGTTTTTTTAAAGTTGCCTGTGTTTCATCTGAGGCTTTGTAATGCCGACCATAATGTAAATATCCTGGTGGTTGATACTGATCTCGGGTATCAGGAGGTAGGGTCATTTCTCTGCCTGCAGCTGTGACAGTAACCACAACCCGTCTTCTTGGATAAAAAGCTTCAGTGAAGGTATTGTGTTTAGTAATAACAAATAGTGTGACATGATGAGCAATGGAGTAAACACCGCTCTTTTTATCTCTTTAGCTTCTGTAGAACCTATTACTCTGTTACTCTATAAATTAACAGTTGTTTATTTACATTCTTTTTAGTTTATTTTTATTTCAGGGTTTTAGCTGTGAGTTTGTTACACTGTCCTTTCTTCAATAACACCTTTGTCCAAGGGAGGAGAAGCTGCCAAGTTTGGTATTTTGGGACCTTTAACTCAAAGGAGGCAGCAGTTGAGTTTGAGGCCTAAGGCTTTACTGAAATGTAAGCACAAATGTTTTTCAGGAAGCTTAAATTTTTATTGGAAGAGTAAACATATGTCAAACGTATTGGTGCTATTTTTTCATAATGAGAAAAAATAGTCTCTAAAATAACACACTTATTTCTTTTAAGTTGTCAGAGAATAAGGTAGTGGCAGTGGGGCTTGGCAGGTTGACTTAGGATTCCTGTAGCCAGGAACTTGCTGGCCACAGAGACCTGCACAGAGGTGAAAATGTTGTAGAGGTGCACCCTGTTTGGAATTTTTTTACCTACTTTACTTATCTACTTTTTTAATCTACTTTAGCTTCCATTTTTGGATATATAAAGAAGGGAAGTATTGCCCATATGATTAGAAAAACAGTATGTTTTTTATACAAAGTTTCAAAGATAACACAGCAGAATTTGATTGTGTAATTTGCCTTTTGGTTTTGAGCAATGCTGTAAGACAACTGAACAAATACATTTTTCTAAGAGTAGTAAAGAGAAGCTAGAGTTTTCAAATTATTTTTTTAATTTTAGAAAGCTGCACACATGCAGAAGTTGTAGCTGCTGTTGATGTGAACACTCTTGCCAATGATGTTTATAAGCACAACTTTCCCAGCACACCGTTATGGGCAAAAACTATTGAGGTGAGTAATTAATATGTTTTTCACCATAGTCTGGCATTTGTAAGATGTGAGTTGCTTTCACTGTCTTTATTACTAACAAGAGAAACAGAAATATTTATGTTATTATGAATAAAGTAGTTTTGCATTAACTTTGGTTGCTTGTGCTGTGTTTGCTTGTTGAAGTAAGAGGGATTTCATACTGAAGGCTTTTCTTGTAAGTCTTGCCTTCTGCATGAAGAAAGGTTATATAAATGTCAAGAGGAACACTTATCATCACTGAAGGAATGTCAAAAATCATATTTTTGGATTAAAAAAAATATTTTCATGTACTTTGAAAAAAATTAATTAAATTACTAGGGGCATGCTTTTGTTTTGAAGTTATAGTTGGGCTCAGAGGAACACAAAAAACTATATTGGACTGAACACTCTTGAAATCTTTTTTAATGGGCTCAATAGATAAAATGTTTTAGGAATTCTGTCACTTGCCAAATTATTTGAAAAATAACTAAGTAAAATTGGATTCTGTATTAATAGATGATGGGCAAGCTAGGCATGACGTTTTGCATGGATTGAGTTAGAAATTACTGTATACTTCTGAATCTTCTTTTACAGTTTTACAACATGACAGTAAAAGATACCGTGCCTGTTTCAAGACACCAGTTTAAGTAAGAGTTAAATAGGCGGCTAAAGGTTAATTGCTTATTCAGCACTCAATTATAACTGGCTAAATGATAGGTTATTGTTTTATAATGGAAAAAGAATATGAATCTTTGCCTGTATCATTTTATAGAAGACAAGAGCAGATTATTAGAGCCAGTGACACCTTCTTCAAATATAATGGAAAAGAATAGCAGCTTTTTTCTAGTGCTCTGAGGGTAGCTACATTAGCTGTATAGGTATCCCTCAGAATATGTAAGGAGTGATTTCTTTGTCCAAGTCATAATTACTTGATCATTGTCCTTCCCTCCTGGCCCCTTAATGTGTTGATCCTCTAGTGTTGGTGAAAAATTAGTTTAGAGAAATTTCTACCAGTGTAATTAATTCCTACCACAGACCTAATTCTTTATTTTCTAAGCAGGATTGTCTTTGTAGAGGAGAACTCCAGCCATACAATATCTTTGACTAATTTTTATGGGGGAAAAACTATGAAATAGACTTTATAGGATGCATTGCCAGTGGGCTCCTAAGAGCTAAAACCCATAATTTGAATCCGTAAAAATTATCATATTTGCACTTGAGCTACTTTTCTTCTCAGATATGTTTACACATATTTTGAGTATGTGAACACTGGTTGTGATATTCAAAGACTTCCTATCTGAGTAATGATACTTTATTTTCAGGAGAAGTAACAGTTGACTAAAAGAACCACTAAACACCTCAAAGAATGAACAGATACAAACCTCAAGATTATGTATAAATGCTAACCTTATTAGTATTAGTGTTTTGTTTAATATGAAGAGCAGTGAATGCATATTTACATTTTATGGTCTGCCAAGGTAGAAAATATTTTTAAATTACTAGCTCAAGTGATATATTAGGTAGTTTTTTGCTAAGTGGAAGTAAGAGGGGTTTGACTGGAAAGATTACTTGAGAATTTCATACAGTTCACAGCACTCAACAGTCTTCAATTTTTTTCTGTTTTCAGGGCATAACACTGAAAGAATTTGACAGATTATCTTTTGATATGATTTTGATGAGTCCTCCCTGTCAGCCTTTTACAAGGTAGATACAGCACACTTGGGAAAAAAGTGTAGTTATTGCACTGTATATGGTCAAAGGAGAAATGTTATCAAGAGTGACACTATGTGTGGGTGATCTGTGTATCTTTCTCTTCCTAAGAAAATGTGTTATAGCTCTGTTCACCATGATGTTTACTGAAGTGAAAGAAATGCAGCAATTTGCATCTTAATTGTTGATCACCTTCTTGCATATGTATATATTATTTCAGTTTAAACTAATCACCAATTTTGTGAACTGTATTGTTCCTCTAATAGTGAAATTTAGTGTTTAGGAGTCCTGCCTTTCCTTTTAGATACTAATCTAATATTTTTCTGGGGAAACTCCAGAAGGAGGATTGGAATTTCTCAGTTCTGCCTGAGACTTAAGAGTGTAATGTGGTTTTATTTGTACTCATGTACACAGACAGATTATTCTGAAGAATATTTCTATTTTAGCCAAGACCAGAAGGATAATGGCTTTGAAATGATTTTATGGATGATAAGGAGAAATATCTTGATGATTAAAGAGTGAGTTTAATGAGATGTTATTTGTCAGATTAATTTGGAATTCATATCATTTGACAGCAGTGACCAGTGGGGTAAGATTCTAGTAACTGCACTCATGCAAAGTAGGAGCTTAATGAAAAAAGTCTGTTGATGGTGATAATAATGACTGTGTAAGAAAGTATATCTCATTGAATGTTCTAAGATTGAAAAGCAATCTCTGTAAAATGGTACTGATCTGTAAAAATGAATTAGTACAAAAAAAAAAAAAAAAAAAAAAACAAAAAAAAAAAAAAAAAAAAAAAAAAAAACAAAACAACAAACCTCTGATGTATATAGGAAACATTTCAGATTTTTTTTCTTTATAATACGATGAAAAGAAAAATCTGTATGGCTAATTAATTTAGATACATGTTAAAGCTCTTATCTTACCAAGCTTTTTTTTTTTTAGGTTTTTTTTATTAGCTAATACAAGTATAAGCTAGGGAAACACACGCCTGGCATCATTACCATTTTTGTAACCTACATAATCTTTCCAGTTTAGTGTTAGAAAATTGATTCCAAAGTTATTCATGTGGGCTCAATCCTGCTAAATGGTGAACAATGAGGCTTTAATTCATAGAAGTAATTTAATATATTCAGTGCAAAATAGCAGGGTATTCCCAGAAACCCAGTGGGGGTTTTTTGTTCATTCAGAGCCAAGTATGTTCAAAGGCTTTGCTGGACAAGACCAGAATGCTAAAGCCTTTGCAGACAGGGGAGTGGATTTCATTACTGAATGCTTCCATTTTAACCTTGCTGTGAGCTGATGGATTCCAGGGGCAGACATTCATTCCTTAGAGCATCTCTCAGGACACTGCCTCTGTGAGCAGGTCCTCCTGTCTGTACGTGATGCTTTTGCAGAATCCCCTTTCGAAACTCAAAGCAAAGTGTCAGCATTCTGTAGAAAGATGTAACTCAAATGCCAGTGTGCCCTGAGTAATACACCGGTGTTTCTTTATTCTTTCTTAGAACTGGCCTGCAAGGTGACGTGTCCGATCCACGGACCAAGAGCTTTCTCTATATCCTTGATATTCTCCCAAGGTATAAATGAACTTCTACCTTCATTGTAAAGCTAGACTTTGTTGTAACTAGGTCTTCTACATTTCAGTAAGACAAGATAATCTTTATTGTTTTAGAGGGACACTACTAGTGCTGTATTCTGTGTTTGTTTTCACATGATCATATGTGACTTACAAATACTTGCATTTTACTAATGCTGTAATCACTTCATTGTTGCTGTATATGCTTTCATCATCTGGTTTCCTTTTCATTATGTCTGTTTAAACTGTGCCTAGATGATAAATTAAAAGAGTTCTGTCCAGTTCAACTTCAAATTTGCATTGATTTTACATAGAAACAGGAGTAGTTTGCCTATTGGTCTCATGGAAACATGAAAAGTTTTTAAAATATTGGGTTAGATTTAACATATAGTCATCTTTTGAAGAGGTACTGTGGCATTCACATTCTCAGGACAGAGAGACATAATTCTGTCTCTCAAGAGAAGCACAGAGAGAAGAAGAGAAAACAATCTTTATCTCTGCTCCTTTGTTTTCCCCATGTGGAATTTGGTATGGAGATTGTTTACCTGAAGTGATTGCTTGATTGGATTCTGGTGAAGGTTGTTTGGGTTCAATGACCAATGGGATCCGGCTGTTTCTTGGACTCTCAGCAGGCAGTCACGAGGTTGATAGCTAAGTAAGAAGTATGTAAATAGAATAGGATAGTCTCTCTTTAAATAGTATATTAATGTAATATAGTATAGTTTTAATAAAGCTATCCTTCAGCCTTCTGATCTGGAGCCAGACATCATAATTTCTTCCCAGTTGGGGTTGCCTTTTTTACCATAAGGTACCATTTGAAAATTGGTTTAAGTATGCTATTGACTCTACAATGCAATGCATCTTGCAACCACTTCTGTTCATTCATAAAGTCTCTGTTCTTTTTGGTGCTGCTTCTAGATATCTTGGGGCAGATTTGTTTTTGGTCTGTAGTACAATCTCTTGCTTGGAGTAGTAATACTAAAAAATTTGAATAGCACTGCATTGTCTGGACAGTGTCCTTGAATTAATCTGTTGTTTTTTGCCTGGTCAGATCCCAGTTCCTAATAAAACAGCCATAATTATTTTTATTAGTGGCAGTCTTTCTTCACCCGGAGACTAGGACAGCTGTTCCCTATATATTCCTCCATTAGTTCATCTTGCTGTCAGGATTGGAAAAGGACAGGTGAATGTTTGATATCTCTTTTACTAATTTTTTTTTTTCATGAATGCTTTCAACACAGAAGGAAGCCAGTACAAAAAAGCCTTTCTTTCAAAGTGATGTTAGCACTGAGAGAAAAGAGTCTTCATCCTTGTTCCAGAAACTTTATGCAGCCAACAGCATTAAATGGAACTGTGTCTTTGCCTTTGTCATGAGCAGAGAGAGAACAATGACACAGAAGGGCTGAGTGGCTTGGCAGGGCCATACATAAGAAATCTGTGGCAGACAACACAGAACAAAACACAGATTCTGTAGCCCAGTAAGTTAGACAATTCCTAGATAAAAAAGAATTGTTATTATTACTCCCCTGCTTCTGTCAGAGACACAAAATTAGGGAGAGAATGTGGGTTGTTTAGAAGTTGCAAAGCATTTCTTTTGAGGAACAAGAAATGTAATACAGGTATCCAACTGATCTGTTAAAATGATAAATGAAACCTGGCAGATACTGATTAAGTTAATAATTAGTCAGAATAACAGTATCTACATATCCTTAAAGTCATCCTGACCTCAGGATTCCTTTCCATTAAACTGAAACATAGTTAAGAGGCTGGCTGTTTTTGGACATTGTAGTTCATTAATACAGAAATATTGCCCGCTGCTGTGGACTTAGCTGGATAAACAGCAGAAGCTTTTCCTTCTCAAAACCAGAGTTTTAGACACTCCAGGACCTGAATTTTTATCATCATGATGCAAAGGGCTTGGGCTTGGCTGTCTCACTTTTATCTCAACATCCCAGGAGACACAGCTAATGTCCCTTATCTCCTTGGGGAGGGTTCTTGAAGCAGCACCTACTCTAAGTAGTCAGTAGAAGGTTCAACGTGGTGGTTTCTGTAGACTTTCTCAGTGCCAGTGGATTTGTGTTTTACTAAGATAGTGCTTATGTGTTTTTTGAATACGATACATTTGCGAAAGATTGAATATGGAGTATTTCAGCCCCAAAAAAAGAAATTCTTAATATGGGAATGATCTGTTTACATTCTAAATTGCTGTATGCATGCAGTTTATGAAAAGTATAAAATCATTTCTCATCCCTTAGATGTACTTCGTTTCTGTTCAGTCATTTATAATGAATTACTAAAATGAGACTCAGAGGTAGCCTGGGATGACAAATATTAGAGATAATGGAAAGGACAGTTTCAAGATCTGGAAAGACATGGGAAATCCTTAGAGCACCCAGCCAGCAAAGTCCAACCCAAGTGGTCCAGATACTGTCTGTTTATTGTGTCCAAGCCATAACCCAGCAAAATCCAATACTAAAACATCAAAATGCTGCTTTTACAGAAACATTTTTAACGTTAATACCTACCAAGTATTTAACACTTCCTCTTTGTACAGTAATTACTTGCCTTGTGATCTGTCAATCCCCTGTGAGTGCTGGTATTTCAGGCTGTGCTCTGGGTTCATTGCTGAAAATAAGTTTCATAGTAGTCAATGATGAAGAGTGTGGGTAGATATACCAGCAGATATATTCTCCATTCCTCTGCAAGGAATTTGGCTGATGATGCTTTTTTCAGCCCAATATTACCTTTTCCCTATTATTTTTAGTATTTTTAAATTTGGCATAGTTTCTTGTACATTTTCCAGTTTCTTGTGAGATACAGTGGTTCTTTTAATTCATGTGTCTTTAATTGGTGGTATTTAAAAATGTGCTGAAACAAATTCTGCTGTGATTTGCTCCAATGGAAGTCCAAAGTCACTAAATTCAATAAGCATGAAGCTGCTGTCTGCAGGCATTAACATCCTACTTCTGTATGTTGTTCTGAGATCTCAGTGTGTGACTGACATTGTGTGTCTACATTAGTCTTAGAGAATTAATCAGTGCTACAGAATGTTCTCAGAGACTTGAGTCTGAATCATCTATGCTTCTAAATTGCTGGAACAGTCCCTGGCACAGTTTGGGCATGCTCTTTTCTCCAGAGATTTAATACGCTGGTTTTGGAATGTGCCTATTTCCAGACCTTTGCACTGATCCTAAAGCTGAGACACCTTCTTCCCCATCAAAATAAAAAAGTCAAGTTTAGAAAATTGAGAATATCTGCAGTTTGAACTCTAAATATATTGTGTTTCTTTAACCAGTTAAATAAATACGATTTCTGATGTGTTATCAGTAAGGTTTATGTGACATTTTGACATTGATTTCCAGTACGAGCACTTGAAAACAACAGTTTTATGGCTAAGTATGGCTAAGTAGCAACCAGCTTTCCCCCAACAATTGTATTTCCTATTATACACTGAATCTATTTAATAATCTGCTTTAGGAAATGAAAAGTGATAAACATTTTCAAAAGTACATGCATAGAGTACAAGAGGGTACAGGTGTTCATCCAAACATAGGTGGAGTTTGTGGTTTTTACCAGCAGTCCACATTTTTAAATCAGTTGGTTTTTCAAGGATGCTAAACTTTAACAGCTAGCATGATGTGGAAATACTTTGATCTTTCTACTAGCTAAACAGATCTGTGGATGAATGTAATGTACTTTACATCTTGTTACACTGATTTGCCTTTTTTTCCTTGTAGGCTTCAGAAGCTTCCAAAATACCTACTTTTAGAAAACGTTAAAGGGTTTGAATCCTCTTCTGCGAGGTAAACTCTACTTAATTTATGCAGGTTTTAGTTTGCAAAAAGGATATATTCTTTAGAAGGAGAAGGGATTTATTCTTCAGAAGGGATTTTTATTTCCTAGAATTGGAGTTAACAAAATAGCTGGAGATGGGACAGGAATTAAAATCTTAGGTTGTGAAAAGAACTTGCTAAATAATTGGTTGTGTCTCTAAGTAGAAAAAATACAACAGTATTTTATTTTTAGTTTTATTTGATGAGTATTTGATTTGATTTTATTTGATGATCATGTTTGCTTTAGAAAAGGTCAGAATTAGTTTTAAAAGAAAAATAGTAATAGGTGTAACAATCAGAGGCTTCAGGGGCTTATTCATGACAGGATCCCATGGTATCTTGTGTTATGGTCACAGAATAGTCTTGGGGCTTTCTTGAGTGCACTGTTAGTAGATTATCCCTGGTTCAGAGCTGCCATCCAGAGATACAGTAAGAAGGTTGTATTTAGTCTTCGTCTGAAATGTGGAAGAGGAAATGTGTCACTACAGTTACCTAATCAGCAGGAAGACTCTCTTGTGACCAAAGCAGGAGACAGTTGCCATCTTTCTTCTCAGTTCTCACTGAAACAGAGTGGAATCTTTCCATGCACTCCTTATAGCACCAGCTGCCACCCTGTTTGTCATGCTCTTAATGAATGTGGCAGGCAGCTGGGAGTCATGCTCAACTGGTTCAGTGTTCAAGGTCTTCTCTTGTAGCCCCCAGGATTCCTTAGGCTTGGCCTTGCTGTCCAGTGCTTGGAACAAGCTGTACTGCAGAAAACACCCCAGTTAGGACACTTACTTTCTCTTAAGACACCTGGGATGAAGTCTCACATGCAATGCTGGGTACAGGTCACAGCTCCTGTCTATTGTATAGTTCCAGTCTAGGGCAGTCTGTATGGAATACAGAAGAAAAGTATTTTTAAGATTATTTCCCTTACAGTCTTTTTCCATTGTTTATAAAGCACTGTCCCACCTCACTTTTATAATCAAAACGACTGATTTTTGTCATCCCTCTATTTAGCCTTTTTGTTAGGCTTAACTGGTGCTGTGTATAGGAGCAGAAGGAAGTAGTGAGCTATTCGTAGTGATTTTAATCTCCTGTTTTATGAATCTCAATAAAGAGAGTATCTTCCCCTCTGATTAGTTTCCTTGTTGACACACTACAATTACTTTCCTAGAGATAGGATGTTTCTGAAGAGGCATTTGCACTGTAGTAAGAGTGAGGTGCCTTTGAATGTATAATAGTCTCTAACACTGAACTTTATATGTTGTCTCTCAAATTCAGTAATGGATGACATATCAATAATTTGCTGTCCAATTATTTCAATGAATGCTTTGGTAAATATGATGTTGAATTTAAGCTGTGTTTATTTAGGATTAAAAAAGAGGCTGAAGACTAGGTGAAGGGAATAATTGCTTTTTAATTCCTTTCAGAAATGAACTTTTGCAAACACTAGCAACATGTGGATTTAAATATCAGGAATTTCTCTTGTCTCCAACCTGTGTGAGTACTAAAATTGCTCTATCATTATTTAATTGTTCAAAATGTACTGAGTACAAGAACATTTGAAAATTCTGTATTAGAAAAGAGAGTCATGCCTGAAGCTGAGGTACACTTGAAAGAGAAAACCAACTGACATGACTTCTGATTTCTCATACTGGCTTATGCCAGTGTTGTATTGCTGTTTGTGCTCAGATCCTAGTCCCATATTGCTTTGCTACCATTTGATATTTTTAAGAAGGCATGAATTTACACTGTAACCAGGAAGGTGGTTTTCCCTGCAGGAGCCTCATTGCTTCAGAGCCTCTGGATTTCCCAGCACAGAAAATGTGACTGTTTCTTGTGGGAGGAGGAGCTTTGTTTCCATGTCACCCTGGAAACTGAAAAAAATTTGAGAGAGATTTCGGATTGTGCAAGACTAACTGGAATCAGTGAAGTACCATAATATTTGAGAGAAGCTAATAGAATGTAGCTTGAAAACCAATTGTGATAGATTTATTTAATTGTTAGGTGTCTTACATTCCTTGTTTAAAAAGGCAAAGAGAGACTTTTTTGCTTTTAACAGAAAACAGGTAGTACCTGTCCCAAGAAATTGTGAGGCATGTGAATTTTTACATTTGTGTCACATAAAATTTTATTTACATTCATATTCATTTACAGAGAAGGTCAAAACCATGAGATGCAGAGAATAATTGCTCACTTGGATCTTTGGAAGTACTTAGGTATGGAAGTTACAAGTGTGTAGATATTATCAACTAATACCTAGAGAATACCCTGGAAAAAAGGAGGCTTCAGGGTGACTTAATTGCAGCCTTCCAGTACCTGATGGGAAACTAGAAGACAGAGAGGGGCTAACAAGAGTTTGTAGTAACAGGATAAGGGGGAATGGATTCAAACTTAAAGAGTAGTTTTAGGCTATATTCAGGAGGAAGTTCTTTGTGATGAGAGTGGTGAGGCACTGGAGCAGGTTGCGCAGAGAAGCTGCGGATGCCCCGTCCCTGGAAGTGTTCAAGGCCAGTTCTGAGCTGGCCTGGTCTAATGGAAGGTGTCCTTGCCCACAGCAGGGGGCTTGGAACTAGATGACCTTCAAGGTCCCTTCCAACACAAACCATTTTATGAGTCTCTGATTCTGTGAATACTGATATGTCTGAAGTCATAAAATATATTAGTATGTCATAGTTCTGTTACTGCATCTAATGGCAGATAACTTGTATGATGCTATAGATCACTTTTTCTCTACTATCAAATGGACTAAAGGCTTCTGAATTTTGATTACAGCTTGGCATTCCCAATTCCAGGCTGCGGTATTTTCTAATTGCAAAACTTCAACAAGAACCATTTTCCTTTCAAGCTCCTGGTCAAGTGAGTCTATTCATGTTACTTCAGTTTGCTTCATTTCATGAAGAGTGAGGGTTAAATTTTCAGTTTAGTGCTGTGTGTTGATAAATGGAGAAGAGTGAGTGAGTCCAACAGAAAAGTTAACTTCTGTCTCCTTTTTCAGCCTGGATATTGAGCTTTGTAAGGACTGATGTGCAAATTTGTGGCTTAGATGGCTTTAGACAGTTGGGAGATGTGTTTTCTAGCCTGATAGTGGGCTAGAAAACAAGCATACTGCTATATTTTTTACACACTTGGAAAGGTCTTTCTGCAAAGGCAGTTATTTGAGGCTGTTCTGACATCATTGCCAATAGGTCAACTAATCTTGATACTACTACTTTTTAAATATTCATGAAAATGACATCTAAAGGTTATTGTGAGCATCTCAGAAGGAATTCTTACTCTCTTTGTGGTTGACTGTCAAGTTGTTTATTAAATACAGTTCTTTAATTTTATTTTTGTCACAATTTCTTCTTAGATATTGACAAGATTCCCAGATCGGGATCCAGAAGGTGTACTCAAGGAAAAAGTCACTGACAAAGTGGGTGAAACCAGTTCTTCTTTGTCCTCTGAGGAGAAGAATCTGGATCCAAACATTGGTCCAGATTCCAGCAGCAAGAGTCTACCAAAAGGGCCTTTTCTGTTTAAGCTTGAAACAGTAGAAGAAATGGAAAGGAAACATAATCAGGATAATGATTCCTCTATTCAAATGCTAAAAGACTTCTTGGAAGAGGAAAATGAAGAAATGAGTCAATATTTCTTACCACCAAAGTCCTTACTGCGCTATGCTCTCTTGTTAGACATTGTTAAACCCACCTGCCGGAGATCCACGTGCTTTACAAAAGGGTAAGTTGCCAAGAAGAGATCTTGCTAAATCATGTCCTGAAAATTTAGGTGTATTTTCTCGCTTGTGTCTGTAAAATCATAGGTGTTTTTTCAAAAAATCCTAGGCCTTTGAAAGAAATCTCCTTATATATTGTGCTTTCTGGTCCAGTGGAATGCCTACATGAGAATCTGTCTGGCAGAACATCATGTGTCCACTCCAAAAAGGCATTCACAAAAGACAGTTGCCATTTGTTGTTGACCTTCACAGAAGCTTAATTATCCCTGCGGAAATATGGTTCCAGTAGACTGGTATAGTGCTGATTCATTAATGAATTGCTTTATATTGCTCAATGAAGTTACAAAGTCTCATGCATGACAGATCCATTCCTCATTAAATCTGTCTCCACTGTTCATTTTATTGATTTCTTGGATTTTTCAGCTATGTAGATCAGAATAGCTGTGGATTGTCATGAAACCAGTTAGATTGGTGCATTACAAATCATACTTGATGGAGCAGAACATCAGTGCTTTTCTGTCTAGTAGTTTTCTGATTTGTACCTTGCAATTTTAAGTTTGACTTCTAGAAGTTGGTGAGTGTTCTGAAACTCCATGGACACCTGGTCAGGAGCTTTTCCACTGAATGCATTTGTATTGAAACATTCTGGTTGGAGCCTGAAAATTTGCGGGAATTTTTAATTCTGATAAATGTTTCTAATTTGATTGGTTTTTTGAGTTTGCTGAGTGTTTCAATAAAATGTCTTAGATGATGAGTTAAAGCTAATTGTAACGTTTTTTTTTTTTTAATTAGGAGAAATTAGACTGCCAGATTGACAGAATTCCTGCAGGTTTTTTTTAACTTTCATACAGTAAAGAAGGAGAAAAAGAATTTCTAAGTTTGAAATTTGTGCAGTGGGAAAGGCTTTCCCTCAGGTCTCATTGATATATATGTATGTGCCTTTTCTGCCCTCACTCTTTTGAGATGAGGAGGAGTCAGCATCTTGCAGAATATCTTTCTTAACTAAATTAGTCAAAAAACCCCTTAGCCAGAATGGTGTTTGATGTGTCTATGTATGCCTTAAGTGTCATCAAAAGTAATTGGCCACTTGTGGTTTCACTAAAACACATCATAGTAGTTTGTGGTCATATTTATCAAAATCACACTCAAGGACGCTCCTGAGTAGTTAAAATCAAGTCTCTGTACTTGGTAGGAAATCTGACACTGGGGAAGGTGACTCTTATCCCTCTGCTGATATGGAGGTAGTTGTGGTGGTAGCTCTGTCTGATCTACCATCTTTGTTCTGTTTTCCAAGAGCCTTTGGGGAATAAGGTTGCCAACATGTTTCTCAGTGGAATCATCTCATTTACAGCTCTTCATTAAGAGAGTTTATAATTACATCTCATTAAAGTCACTTTCTGAGGCCAAAAATAAGTCCCTTCTGCATCTGTTCCAGAAGTTCTGTTTTTATATTTCTCTGAAGCATGAGATCTAGGAAAAAGACCCCTGAATGGGGTGGAACAGCACTCTGGATAGTACAGAGTATCTGTCTGCTGCTGTGCCTGTCTGGTGTCGTTCTTGTAAGTTGTGCTGACCATCAGCTTTGAGAGTGGGAGAAAAATTTCCCTCTTTTCTCTTTGGTTTTCAGGTATTTCTATCAAGGTTCATGTGATGGAAATAATCTGGATATGCCTTCTCTAGTCCTTTCTAATTCAGGGACTTTAAACACAGATAGCTCATCAGTGATTTTTGCTATATCAGAGTATGTCATTTGAAAAGCTTTGGTGGAGTATACAGCAAAATGTAATGGCCTGTAATGCATGAGAGATCAAGCAGGTAATTCAGTGTGCCCTTCTGATCCTGACTTCCTGGGCACTTAGTGAATGATTGCTGAGTTCCATGAGACTACCACCACCGTGGTTTCTCTTAGGAGTGTGTTTGTGGTGGCTGAAGTTTTAAAAGGAAATTGACTATTTTAAAGGACAGAGGAAATAAAAATAGTATCTAACTTCTCTAGATGTAGTAATTCCAGATACACTTTAAATTTTTGATATGCTGTTGACAAGAGAAGTGATATCTTTTAAAATAGTGCAAATATCAATTACAGAAGAGTTTTCTTGCTTTGTGGAAATTACTTTCTGTCAGTCAAAATATTGCAACACAATATACCCAGAAAAAATACATGTATGAAATGAAAATATTTTTTTTCAAACTTACAGAAATAAAAGAGGCAGGGAATATTGAATCAGATGAAAATTGAAGACTGTAATTTCTTAAGCCAACTTCTTTCATAGTAACTTGTAATGAAACTTGTAATGAAATTTGCCAGAAAATCAATATGTCATTTTTTTACTGTGACAAAATTTAATTATGTTCTGGGTCTAAGGTAGGAATGTTAACTTTTCTGTAGTCAGCACCTTCAATAATAATAATAAAAAAATCCAGCTAACATTACATTAGCCATATGCCAACATTTGTATTAAAAACCAGCACGCATACACACAGACAGCCTTCAGTGCATGCAGACACCAACTGTATTGTTTTTTGGGGGGGGTGGAGTTCTGTACTCTAGTGCCAGTTATTTAGACAGGAATATTTATTTTTCCCAATAAAACACTTCAATACCACTCTGAATTTTACCCCATTTATTCATTTTGGCTCAGTTATAGAAAACTGAAATATTACCAGATGCTATATAAGAGGATGAGGATTCCTCAGTGCTGTGTGTATCACATTGTTAAACTTTGTGTTAGGGAATTTGCAGAATGCAACTAACCAATTAAAGATGATATATTTACAAAACAGATTCCACATGTATTTAATCTGTAACAGTGTTTAGGTGTTCTAATCCTGAGGAAGATTTGTAACCACTTTGTTTTAAAATGAGTGCTGCTCTGGCTGCTACTGGCAGAACTAATTGTAGCTTTTTCAGCTGAGGTTGAAATACTCAAGATTGAGCCATGCTGGGTCATTGTGTCTGTGCTGAAGGGAGAGTATTCTTTCATTCACTGTGGAATTAGAGAGGCTTGAAACATAACTAGTGCCATGCTTTAGGAATGGGTCCCAAGTGGAACAAAAGACCTTTATAATTTCCTTTACAGTTGTACAGATAAAACTAGAGAAGAGTGTCTGTTAACAATTGATGCAGACCACATCCCTGTAATGCAGGGGATCTTCTGAAGTCCTTCCACAGGACAAAGACATCTGTTGTCTTGACTCAGTCTCTTTCTGTTCAGAATGTTCAAACTGCCATAGTTACACCAACAGAGCATGTTTCTGAAAGCCCATGATTATATTTAAATGATAGCCTTGAAGAAACTACAGAGTAAACATGTTGTTAAGCAGTCAACCACAAAGCATGCAGAACAGCTGAATTTGAGAATTCAAGTTTACTTACTATTTACTTGGATTTAATTGTTTTTCTTCTTATTTCTGTCTTCTGCTCTGCATAGATGCCTGGCCATCACCCTTCCTTCAGTAGAAAATCTACAAGCAACCAGAAGTTAAACCTGACTGAACCACTTTGTTCCTAATGCTTTGACATGAAATCTGGAGGCTCACACTAGTGGTCCTCCTTTTAATAAGGAGTACTAATTTGAACCTCTGGGACCATTTGACCTTTAACACATTTTGCTGTATTGTAAAATTGGGTTAGGCAATGTAGATGGGGATTTTTTTTGGTGTTCCTATTCTTGAATTCCTTGGCTTTGTGTAGGTGCCATGTATAAGACACTAGTGTGGATAAACCCTTGAGCACTGAGGGCAGACTCATTCCCAGAGAGCACATTCAGAGGGTACTGCACTCCAGGGTTAGCAGAGTTTATAACAAGAGTTTCTGCTATATCTGTCCAGGAGGCTGTTTGTTCATCAAGGCTAAGGAACCTAAGTAACCTCCCTGCACCTTTGCAGTTGTCAAGGCCATGAAATCAAGTGAAAATACAAATATAAATTTGTTATTGTTGTTGTTTAGGTATGGACACTATGTAGAAGGGACTGGCTCAGTTCTGCAAACAGCAGTAGATGTACAGGTAAGTGTGCGATCTAACATATTAAAATTACTTATTTTAAAACTTGAGACTTGTTTCAAAGCTTGGGTTTTTTTCTGTCTTCTCCTTTGTTATTCTGAATATTATAAGAAAAAATCTTTTAAATGTACATTTTATTGCAGCTGAGTTTCCAATTGGATTACTTTGTGTTCCTAGACAGCAGTTTGTTTAGACCAAAATTATAACTGTGTCTCTCTGTGAGGAGAATATGAGTACCTATTATTTTACTATCTGTCATGTCATACAGAGGTTTCACAAGGGTATGTGAAAACCTTAAAAATTACTAGTTCTATGGAGAACCTACAGTACAGTGAATCAAGAGCTGGTTTTTGTATGCATATAATTCAGGAAATATTGTCAGATATTTAACATGTTTGAATTTCAAAATTATTATTTATCTGCGAAGAGTGTTTTGAAAAGTTCTACTATTGATGCTAAGCTCATGACCAAGTGGTATTTAGGCATTGGGGAAGGTAATAAATGTACTGGTTAATCAGCATTCAAAGATACTTTTCACAAAGTCTGTGTTGTACACAACCCTTTCCTCCTGCACTTCTGTGCTGTTCAATAATATTATAGGGCATTTCTAAGCATAAGAGGAATGCAGCTCTGGGACTCAGGATAATCTCAAAGCTAGAGTATTAATAATAAACAGCTGCATCCACACAGCTTATTTGGTATGAATGGTCTGTTACTGAGTTATTTTGAGTCACTGTCCTTTGTCATTAACAAATGTTTATTCTTTGCCCCATTAAGTATTGGTATAGCTTGGAATTGGAGGAAGAAATGATGAACATCCTCATGCCAATATTGATTTCTTTCTTGCAAGTGTGTGTGTTGAGATATTGTCTGCAAGAACAGAGTACAAATGACACTTTCAAGCAAAACATGCTATTGTCTTTGTCACTTGGATAATTAAGGAAATATTATATTAAGATGTGACTGTAAATTTTGCATATCTGGCTTGCATCAGTCATATTTCTTGGTTTTATTATTTTTCATAGCTTGAATCAGTGTTTAAACACATTGACGAATTACCAGAAGAAGAGCAGCTTATAAAATTATCAACACTAAGACTGAGGTACTTCACCCCAAGAGAAATAGCAAATCTTCATGGATTCCCTTTGGAATTTGGTATGTGCTGCAAAATACACACTTCTACATTATTCTTCAGAAATGCCAAGATATATATTTTTTTTTTACTGGGACTAATCCAATCTTTATTTTGCATTTTTTTTCAGACCACTCAGTTCTTATGATTGATTTATTCTTGTTGTTTGGCTAACTGAATGTCTCTAAAATTCCACTAGTTTTTTTCATGTTTTCTAAGAGCCAGCTTCTGTGATGAAGTTTATCTTCATAAGCTAAGAAGAAGGTTTTGGCATGCAAAATGCTCTGTTAGTGAAGCACAGTGAAGGAATACCTTTGTTTAACGTTGAAACTATTTATTCAGCAGTCAGTATTACTCACAACTGTGGTAATCAACATAGGCTAGCTTAGGAAGTCTGTTTGTGGTTCTCAGTGTTTGAACTGCTTGCTTTCTCCCTTCCACACATGTACAGCTGCTGACAGGGAATTTCAGATGCTACAGATATTTCTTTGTTGAGGAGTAACCAGTTTACTAAGCCATCTCTATTTTCTAGAGAAGGCAGCCCTTGGTCAGTTTCTTCATTTTCTAAGTGGTTGTTTTTTTTGAGGAAGGAGTCAAGGAACAAGACCCAGCAGTATCAGTACACTGGATACACATGAACAAGAATTAAACCTGAAGTAAATTCATCAGAATTCTCCTTGTTAAAAAGGGCAAACAGGAAAGTGTAGCTGTTACTGTCTGCTAAGAAACTGTCCTGTTGACATCACATCAGATCAATTTATTGTCACTCAGCAACAGAAGAATATATAGAATCATGGAAGAGTTTGTGTTTGAAGAGACCTTAAAGATCATCTTTTTCCCCTTCCACTAGACCAGATTGCTCAAAGAATAAGACAGCACTGACCTTGAGTAATTTGTTATCTTTTGCTTTGACTTCCTTAGTGACTTAGAGTTCTGAGAAATGTGACTTGTTTCTGTGTATTTCTTTCTTTCACAGATGTAGTTTGTTTTTTATTTATTACTTGTTATATTCAAAATTGCTACATTTGGATAACATTATCAAGGTTGCACAGTGAAACTAGAGCTGCCAGCACTAAGCTTACATGTTTCTGAGTTTGCAAGTGTGTGCTGTGTTCTTACATACCAACATGCAATGTTTTTTTCATGGCCTCTTGTCTTTAATGGTTCTGTTCTATTTGCAGACAGCCTCTTAGCACAGCTCTGTTTCATATTCATGTAGACTGATGACAAGATATTTGAACTTAACAGAGCTGGAATGGGCTTGTATAGGTTTATCATGGTGCTCAAGGTCTCTTGAGCACGAAATTGCCCATTTTCTCTTTTTTTAAATACACCTGGAGCTTTTCCACTGTTAATCAGTCTCTGCAACATTACTGAGAGGTGCAGTAGGGTTAATGTGTTGTATTTTGCAAAGGGAGAACTGAGACAATGGAGAGATTTATGTTAGAAAGACTCCACTTCTTTGGGGTGATCAGTTTGTGAAACTTGACTTTTATAATTTCATAGTGCTTGGAGTGATACCTTGCTTTCTGTTCAGACTTCATCTGCAGAGACACCTGTGAGGTTCAATATTTTTGCAAACCAGAACTGAACTCTGAAGACAAAGCAGGCTTCTGAATTTGAGGCTCATCCAGATCATCACCATGTACAATGTGTTCATTTAGCAGACCTGTCTTTTGTTGTTTGGTATTCCACCTTCCAATGGAGAGTAGCCTTTTGCCATAAGGCAAAAGGCAGTTAGTATTATAACTGCCGTGCAGTTCCCTTCTCTCTCTGTAGTGCTTTTCCAACTTTGATGACACATAAAGGAAGCCTAACTCTCATTCAGAGGTTTCCTCTGGCATATACTCCTGAGTCAGAAGTAGAACATGCATTTCCCCCTGCACTGAGTCACAAGTCTGACATTTCTTTGTGTTTAAAACTTTTCCCACTTTCTGCTTAAAAAAAGTGTCATTTGACTCTAGGCTGATAGAAATCTTTAGTGAATTTAGGTACTATAATCTCAGTTTCCTTTGAGAATTTGCAAGCTCTGGATTTTTTTTTTTTAAGTGGATATATTTATGGCTTCAGCAAAGGGTGTTGCCCTGACAGCATTTCTCCTATGCTAAACTTCAAGTAATTATTGTGAAATATGGTATTTTCAGAGCAAAATGTGATAAAAGTTCTCTGCTACTGTGTTCTATAGTGACAGCAACATTGAGGCTGAAATTTGCAAAACCAGGAAGCTTGGAATTGTACCCACTGTAAATACATTATTGGTCCAAGAAACTGAAGCATGAGGAAACTATAAGCTGAAAACTATATGAACAGACTGTGAGCAGCTTTTTAACAGATGCTGTTACTAGTGCCGCTACAGTATCATCAGAAGAAACATGATTGTCTAAATGGTTCTGCATTTTAAGAAGTTGATGGCCTTTTATAATATGTGAGATCCAGAGCCAATGTCATTATTCACTCTTAACATGACCAGATTTATTTGTGCTTTTAACATCAAAAGGTATAGATAGTAATTGCACTGTAGTTCAATGAAATACTGCAGTAATTTGTCTTAGTCACTCTGGTGGGTCCCACAGCAATATCGTTAAAAGTGAACACAGTGTTCTTGCACCTGTGACCTGCTTTCATGAGAGTGGTGTCAGGATGTGTTTTCCATTTTTCTTATTAACAATGCATGCAAGCTTTTAGGAAACAAAACCCAGCGTGGTGGGGAAGTATGTGCTGTTAAGACCTCAATGTCCTCAGGTACTGTGTGTGACATAAATGCTGCAGTGAGAGTATTGTTGAATCTGACCTTCTGATGTAGGCCACTCTGGAGCCAAGAAGATAGAAAGAGCAAGACAATGCTAACAGTCAGAGGGAGGAGGTTTGGGATAAAGGAAACCATGTGTTCTGAAAATTAATTCTTGGCTTTTGGTTGCCAAAAGGTAGAAGGAAAAATTCTGACATTTTCAGTATTCAGATAGGCTTCTTGGGCTGTAAGTGCATGTGTGTGTACATAAATACATATTTATTTTCATGTGTGCTTTTAAAATGCTTTTATTCTGTACCTTATTCATTGATGGAATGTGAAAACTCCATCTAAGGAAGTGTGTGTGGGAGTGCAAATGATTGTTCCAAAGACAGAGGAACGGTTGCCCAAATGTGAATGCCAGGAAGCTGGGCAGAGTGGATGGAGCTGGCAGAAGATGTGTTTACCAAAGCAGCCTACATTCGAGGCATTAATAACTGGCAGAGAAGGATGGAACAACTCCTCCCAGACACCACCTCCTCCTCAGAGCCTCCCTTGGCTCAATAACTGTCCAACCACGTTCTCTCCTGAGCTCTCTCTGGAACAGAATTTTTTCTGAACAGCTGTGAAAATTTCGGAACATACATACCACTACTTGAACTCACAGTGTGCTTGTGCATCTGAGCTAATTGGGGTGGTGATGACCTCTGAGTCAAAGTTGCATGTTTCTTCTTAGGGAATGATGAAATAATTGAACATGGTCAAATTTCAGCAGTTTACTATATGACCCTAACAGTTAAGTCGCCACTGCTGTTCATCTTTCACTCAGGTTGAAGCAAATGTACTTTACCTTTCACAGTTGGAGTAAGGTAAGAGTGCAAACAAGGACAGAGCAGACAAACTGGCTGCTCAAAAGGGCTTCACTCTCAGGAGCTTGGGAGTCACTACACAGCACAGCTCTTTCACAATACATGGGCTGGTGTCATTTTTACTGGCTCTCCCTTTCTGCCAGGCCATGCACTTACTATGGGAAGGACATATCTCCTGCTGTCTGTATTTCTGAGTGTGTTTAATGGGGTCAGCATTGAATTACATGGAAATTGTTCAACTGCTTGATCACTCACTGAATAAGCCTTGCTCATAATTTAATCTGTATGGGTGGTATATTGCACTGAGAGACTTGTGATTTGACTGAACTGATAGAGGGGATCATGTGGGAAGTACAATATGAAGCTTATGAAGTACAGTTTAGTCCATCTGCAGAATTGTCACATTTTCTTTCTGCTGTGGTCATGTTCTTCTGTGGATGTTATCTAGAGTAGCAGTTGTGCAGGGATTTAGTGCTGCTGCCCCTCCCTGAGACTGCTGGATGTTTTGAGCTCTCTGAAGGGAAGGTAGATCAGCAGTAGTTACACAACAGAGGAATGTTTTGAAGCTTCTTGTGAAACTTCATAGATGGCAGTATTGATAATAGAAGAACTGATATAAATCCAGTTAATTGCTTGTGAATTGGTTTTGTAACTTTGTGAATTTTGTGGGGGGCTGGAGAGAGGGTGAATCCTGCTGCAATTTGTGATAACTACACTAAGAAATGTTCACTGAAAAGAAAAATTAGACTAAAAAGTAGGAACAAACACAGACTAGTGATGTTGCACTATATGTTTTTGTTTTAGGTTTTCCTGAAAAGGTAACAGTAAAGCAATGCTATCGTCTTCTGGGAAACAGCCTCAACGTACACGTGGTGGCAAAATTGATCTCCATTCTACTTGAATAATTTAGAACCTGAAACTGATGCATATGGACTGGTGACAGAAAATACTTCCGCCTTTTGGGAGAAAGCTGATGGAACGTGGACAAAAACCAGAGCTTGCCAATATATTTGTCCAGACATTTTGCTGAAAAGTTTTGATATCTTTTTAATAACTTGCATTCATGATGGATTTAAACTTTATAGGTGTTTAATTTAAATGGCAATTTACAGACTGCTTTATTTAAAAGTTCTTTATAGTTTGCAAAATGAAAAATGGCAGCATATGCAAATACTTAAATGAGAAAGGATAAGAGTATTATATTTTACTTTTTTATTTTATTTTTTATCTTAAAGCCATTTTCTCAGTACTGTGTGAAGCTGTGAAAGCTGTTTCAATTAGGTGCAGAGACTAAATTCTATGTGAAAAATGTCTTAATCTTTAAATGTAAGTGATCCATTCTGAAAAGATTTACTGTATATATGATCTGAAATTTTGATGTGATTTTTGTAGCTCATGAAACTAATAAATTCAATATTTTATATACAATTCTTAAAACCTAGTGTTGTTCTTTATGGTTGTCTTATCTTTAAATACTCATAGGATTCTGGAGCCCAACTGTATTTGTCTGGAATGACTTGTTTAGTTGCAGCTGAATGAAAATATTTCAAGATTATCACAGGCCTGACAATAACTTCCCTGTTTCTCTTGTATTATTCAGGATAAGATCACTGCTCCTTACCAAAGACCTACATGTAAAAGACATTAAAAAAATGTAAAGCTCCATGTTTAGGTTTCTGTGACATAAGAACTGGAGAAAAGCTATATGGGCTTCTTCTGAAAATTTCTTCACAAACCTTGGTAGTAGTGCTGGGGTTAGGAGTGTGTGTTGAGGTGAAGCCACTGCATGTGGCCATCCCCAGTGCTCCCCTGCACAGTGCCTCATAGAGCTGGACTCAGTGGGTTTGTAATCAAGTCTTGTGAGTTCAGTACCTCTGAAATTATGGAGAAAATGATGGGAAAACTGAAAGCCCTCTAAAGAAGCATGTGATCTAGTTATCTTTCTTTGGGATTTTCCCATTGGTATTTAGATTAAAAACAGCTTGAGTGAGGAAGAGTTAAAATGATACTTAGTAAGCATCCTTAGGGAGATAATGTGCCAGAAGACAGAAGGATTTTGTAGTTGATCATATACCTAAGCAGTAAGTTAAAGTTGCCAGCCCTAAAAATGATTTGAGTTTTCATCCCTCTCTCCCCCCAACCAGTGGGATGACACTGGAGCAGTCTTGGTATGTTCCATCTGGGTTTGGTAGTGCAGGAGAAAGTGAAGACCACAGAGAGCAGAGCTGCTGTAGAGATACTGTAGTTATTTTAATCTGCTGTAGTCCAGAAAACAATTTAAAAATAAATGTATGTAGATAAATTCATGCAGCTTTATCTTATGCTGGGTCCTGCGTTTCTTCTTCAGTCTTGATTTGCCTGCTGCTTTGTTATACCAGGGAAAGCTTGGGTTGACCTACTTCAGCCTGTCTGATTCTCCAGGAGTATATTGCCCACTTGGGCTGTTCCAGCTGTAAAAGAGAAATGGAAATGGTTTCTCCTGAAAGTGCTCTGGAGAAAGCCCTAGAGAAGGTGAAGTTGGCCTCTGTTCTCACCTGGTCACTTGTAGTACTGAAATATCAAAAAAGTACTGCTGTGCTGGCTACTAAACTGCAAAGAGCAGGTGGGTTTTGACAGTGAACCATGGTTACCTATACCCACAATGGTTATTGTGTAGATTTATCAGCCAGATCAATAACTAGTATCTGTAT